TTGTTCTTATCAGCAACATGCTTAGCACTGTCGGGTTAGATGATAGGCACAACTTTGGAGGTTTTCCGTTAACTTCGGAGAAAGAAAAATGACTTTAGAGAAAAGCGCCGGAGATCATCAGAAATCATGCAAAAGCTGGAAAATGTGGTTTGTACAGCTTCTCGCTCCTCTTCGACATGTACAGTGAAGGGTAGTAGGAATACTTACGGATAGGTACACAACGTGAAATCCAGTTAACTGAAGTTTCGAGATATAAAGCTTCCAAGCTGCGATCCCCTCCCCGCGGCGATGTTAGTGCAAGCGGCCCTTAATCTGGCATCGAAGGAAGATGCATGTCACCAGACGCGCCCTCAAACTCTGATTGAAAAACTGCTTTTCTTTTCTACGGAAAAAATTTTCGAAGGAAGTCACAAGCTTTTGGAAGTCTGAAATTGTCAACCTGTTCAAGGACGCCTGCAAGTGGGTGATCAATTCTGTATCACATATATTGACTACAAGGATGTCAATGGAGATCACAATCACTAATAATCCGCAGGTTTTTGTACACGCTGATTCTACGCCGTTTTGAGAAATTTGGATGAAATGATCTTGACTTCTTTCAGAGAGTTGTTCACAGAAAAAGAAAGCAGATTTGGAATCAGCGTAAAGACGCACCTAATGGTATACATTTCTTCTCAGCCTATCAGATCTTGTCTTTCCTCTGCTTATATCCAAACAAATCGGATTCGACAGTGGTGGTCTGAAAAAGGATCCTTATAGTACCTGTAACCCAGTACCTCAACTTTGACAAGGCACTGCCCTTGAACGTCGACAGATTATACGGTTGGAAAGAAAAGAATGTTGCTTTTTATGTCAGAGCAACAAAACAACACTATATATGAGTGTGACGGGCGCTATTCGATAAAGCAAAGCAAGCTTTGAAAGAGAACCTTTAAAGGCAGTGTCCCGGCAGATTTTGCACCTCCACCTTTTTGCATGTTTTAGGCCTTTTCGCCACGTAGAATCCGAATTTGAGCTATGAATGGGCTGAAAATGCCCATTTTGGGGCGTTTTCCTAATTCCAGAAAAGCAGCTTGGACGAGATTTTTGATGGAAAGTTGGGGGAGGTCTCAGACGAAGATCCTGCCGCCTGTAATTCTTGCTTTGGATAGCATGCATCATGGGGGAGAGCGCTCGTGGGCTCCCGCGCCGAACAGGCGGGGAAGGCCGTCCAAGCGCGTGCCAGTTGGGGTTGCGCGCGCCGGTTCAAGGGCCATTTTCTCGGCCCAGGGGGAACATCACCCAGCCGGAGTGCGCCTGGAGGTCGATGGGGTGACCAGGAATCCCACCACACGTATATCCCCCAGGAAACGAATCTGCCGGGACACTGCCTTTAAGCATCTTTGTGCGCCGTGATCTAACAAGGTTGCATTTAATCCATTAACAGATTTATAACGTTGAAAATTGGATCTTTGCCCATACAAGCTTCCACTTGTTATTGCATGTAGCAGATATACGCCTTTATCTCACTCGGTATGCCCTGAATTTAGAAATCATGGAAGGAAAATAAAAGGCGAAGAATCCAAAAATATCAATTTCAGACGAGAAACCCCGAAATGTGACATTCTTCTCTTTCCAACCTGATACTATACAAGGTTATTCAAAACTCTACTTAGAAGTCTTTTGCCTCTCGTCAGGGTATCATTCTGTACAGCCGTCTTGAACTTAGATTTGCAGCATGGAGCGCCTCATCGATCGCTCTTCATCGCTGTAGGATTACGGAGGGAACTATTGAGTCACTGTGCAAAAGCTGCCGGTTTGTAGAATTTTACTAAAAAAATCTGAAAGGTTTTGTGATAGGGGTTTCTCAACGCCTTGATCAAACCCCTATTACAAACCCCTTTGTTGAGTATCAACGTGTTTAATACTCAACTTTGTGCAGGACTGTGGAGCTTTTTTAGAGATGCTTAGACACATCGAAAAAGAAACCATTATTAGTGCTTACCCGTCATAACTTCTTAACAGTTTCGGACCGCAATTCGCGAGCGGCGAATAATCGTGCACTTTTCTCGATGGTCTACAAAGTGCCCTCATTTCGTGAAATTAGCACTATATCTTTAAGTAACATAGCAAATAAGCTCTATACCGATATTCCAATTGAATCTGGAGTTTTTCAAGATTGTCACCTGAGAAGGATTGCTTCGTTTTTTTGGGAGATAGAAACAGCTCTCAATATCGAATGATAACTAAATCCACCTATGTCACCCACGGTATTTACTGGCATCAAAAACGCTGTTTTCGAAAAATGAAGCAATTGAAAGTTGCGACGTCGCACGCATTGTTCGCGTTGCTGCACCATGTTAAAGCCACTATTTGATTTGTGACTGTATTTTCTAAATAAAATGCTGCGGCGTGACAACATAAAGTTATCTTGAAAGTACGGGCCTAAGCCATGATATCCTTGGAGTATGGTGAAACTCAGTGTGAAATTTAAGAAGTCCCAATAAATTAGCGTGCTGCACCATGTGCAGCAACGGCCCGAAACGTGCTAATGGAATCAGCAGCTTAGCCTAGTGTGAGAGTGGTCGTTTTCTACTTTTTCTTTTACAAAATATTACCCTCCTAGGCTCTTCGAAGTTCTTTCCGTAATCCAACAGTAAATGAAATGCGATCGATGAATCCCTTCACATGCAAAACTATGCTGAAGCCAGCTCTACAATGTGGTACCAAAATGTAAACAAAAGAATTCTTTGGAAAAAAGATATAAGCGATTAAACAGTGGGGACATTAACCTCCAGGTTCGACCTTCTATGAATCTTGGCATAATTTAAATATCTTTCGATTTGTTGTTGAACGGTGACCAAGATTGGTATGGTGACAATTTATTACTTGGCTAACGTTTTGGCGCCAACGCCGTCTTCAGAGCCTGTAACCAAAAACGTATGTGTATAGTGCCTACTGAGCCCTCGTTACCGTACGATTCAACTGCGTTGAGCACGAGACCAGCAAAGAGCTAGAACATGCCTTACCTTATTTGACGTTAGTCGATGGATTTGACCGCTCGTGGTCAAGCTGTGCAGAATGTGATGGTACGTTTTTGTTCTCCATGCTGTTTATACTTTGGCTATCAAAACCGCAAAGGCTTTGATACGGTGATAATTCTTTGATTACGGTAATGCACTCGTCCTTTTTGTTCATTTTGGGGTTACGTGACGTAATCCAAAATGCTTCGAGTGTCTTTCGTGGGATAGTTTCTTGTTCGTACGACAAGATTGTGGCAGCGATATCAAACGGCATATTATCGTGCGACACTCTGCTATGTGCACTTAGAGGAGTGGATGCTTTGCGTTTTGCGAGTCCAACCAAGTGCTCTTTGATCCGTAGACATAATGGCCGTCCGGTCTCTCCCACATACCTCCTTGACTTACCTGTCAAGTATGCGGTGAAGAATATGTGGGAGAGACCGGACGGCCACTATGAGATAGACGACCCCGCATTTTAGGCAATCACCTGGTCTTCCAAAGGGACATATTACGCAATCTGATGTTGAGCAAATATTGTCATATGCGCGATTGCGAATTAGCTGCTTTTTAAGATTGGGAGGAGGGATGTCTACAATTCGAACATAGTCTTGCAAGCTTGCTTGATGTAAACTCCTCCTAACAGCTTTGCTAAAATCGTCCGTTACGAAAGGTGTGCAAAAGGATATCTTTTGGGTGTCTCTCTCATGCGGCATGCATCTATTCGAGAAACTACCATTAACGCTACTCATCTGCAAATATCCATTGGATAGTGCAACTTCTTTAGCCAACTTCAACGATGCCGTACGTTCTTGCGCGCCAAAAGAGACCTTTTTAGCTGTTTTGAACATATTATTCAGAATAGACCTCTTCATATTTCGTGGGTGTGCTGAACGGTAATGTACTAAGATGTTTTTGTTGGTAGGCTTTCGATACCACTTGGTTTTCCAAATTCCGTTACGCAAATACACCTCGACATTTAGGAAAGCTAGCCAGTTTTGACTAGGCTTCTCGCGGGTGAATTTTATACTTGGCGATTGCGCATTCAGGATGTCGAAACATGTATCGACTTCCTTTTGAGCGGTCAAATCCATCGATTAACGTCGAATAAGGTAAGGCATGTTCTAGCTCTTTGCTGGTCTCATGCTCAACGCAGTTGAATCGTACAGTAACGAGGGCTCAGTAGGCACTATACACATACGTTTTTGGTTACAGGCTCTGAAGACGGCGTTGGCGCCGAAACGTTAGCCAAGTAATAAATTGTCACCATACCAATCTTGGCCACCGTTCAACAACAAATCGAAAGTGGGGACATTGTTTTAGGATATCCCTGTATTATGCTCCTTTTCCTCTAATTACAGATTACAGGAATTGGAACGCTAAAATGTGCCCCATCAAGAGTAGAGGTGTGCCCACCGGTAACGAAACATTGTTTCGTGTATGTATCATTAAAAAATCAATATCTATCATTACCATAAATAGACAACAAGCTATTTACAACATGGTTAGCGTAAAGTATAGGCAAGATAACGACATCATATGACTATGTCGATTGCGACAACACAAGAGCCGATAATAAACGATGGCGATCAATCTAATCGCGATTGCTGTGGGAGCGGGCATTTAGGGGAAGATATGGGACCATTTCCAGGTTAAAATTTATTTAGTAGCTATGTGCTTTATTTACATCAATAAATCGAATAAGCAGTTCCTGGGGTGATCAAATTTCTTTCAATCCAAATTCACTGCTTTATTTTCGGAGATTAGATATTATTCCTTACAGATGGTGGTTTGTTCACTTGTGCCAGACAAATTTAAAAAAAAGGCCACCATACCTGCACATTGGCATTTTTGATCCCCAACAACCACAAAATCAAGAACCCTCTTAGCGCCCCATTACTTCCGACTCTTGCGCACATTTGGACGGTCATACAAGAAAATTTAGATCAAGTTTTCCAAGTTTACCAACCCCTTCTCGGAAATGTCTCTTTTGAATTGTATAACTTCTCGGCGAATATGGAAATTGCCTGTTACTATAAAATGCCCCATATTTGCGAAGAAATGGCACATTGCACAACCATGAGATTTCTTCTCTGCCTTCTCTTGTGTATTTCTGTCCTCTACTTGGCGGAATGCTCGACTATCGATGGGTTAGTTTACCCAGCCTTACCCATCATGACCTTCACTATATGTTTCAGGCAGGATCGAGCTAAGAGACAGATAGCCAATATGCCGAATCCATTCTCGACAGGAGGTCGTAGACTACCTCCAGGTCGTTACGGTGGTTATGGAAGCGTGAGACCTGTAAATCCTTTTCAGAGGGCTTTGGGAATAAGCCCCCTGTAATGGAATTAATAGTGATCAATAAACTTTGATTTCTTTTTGATACTGAAGTTCTGCAAAATCAAAAGTATAAGGCAAAAGGCTCGACATAAGTTAGAAGTAGAATAAGCTTGCCGGATGTGAAGCACCTATAATTTATCGAAATCTGCTACCAATATATTCTCGAAAATGCGTGCTGAAAGAAAATTTTGCAGACTGAAAAGGAGTTCAAAAATTTACCTTTATCTAAGAACGAATCAACATTTTACCCAAAAATCAACAAGGCACCTAGAAAACAGGAAACAAAGGGTGTGTCAAAAACAGCCATAACATTATTATTAAGCAAAAATCCATTATTGTATCCACCAAGTCGAAGATGAACACTCGTTCCGATACCAGTACCCCATATGTTGCCTTGACTAGCGGTGGAAGTAGAAAAGATGGCACGACCGTATCCAGGACCCCCCTCGAAGGGACCATAGTTCTCTCGTTTCTCTCGCAAATGCCTAGAATGAGAAATTCACATATTGCAGAATCTGCTTCGGCTAAAACTCACACAATACTTCCTGCTCCCACATGTTGCCATGAAATTGATGAAATCAATAATAAGAAAATTGCGCGTTTTCGCTTATAGTACATATATTGTGAGAGTTGCAGGGCTTAATTGATTCAAACACACAATCAGTTACACTTGGGTCGATCGCCAACTTTTGGAGTTTGTCATCGGCGAAAAACCTGTTTCGTACAACATATAGTTGAAAGAAAAGAAAGAAATGATAGTGTAGAAATAAATTATTTCTGTTTATGTAACCATGTGGTGGAAGGCCCTCAAATAGAGGCAGACAACTCCTGTACTCTATACTAGGTTGTAAATAGAAATATGATGACTAGAGTAACCTGAAACGTGTACAGCAATTCACTTTAGGTATACCCTGAGATAGACTCCCTGAGAATTTTGAGATTTCAAACAATTTCAATTTACACAAGATGGCTAATTGAAATTGAATATTTCATCAGCAAAAAATTTTCCTTTCAATCAAAGCCACAAAAGTTTCGGTTTTCCTTTCAGGAGATATTCCCTTGATTCAATTTCAATTGCGAAAACTCGTGGTTTTCTCAAGAAAGGACAAATGATGCACAAAAGAAGCAGTAGCCAGACAGTAAGTCAAGTACATCCTTATAAACAGATATTTACTGAATGACACAAATAGAAATATGTCGATATTTAACCAATTATCGCTCCAAGAATGTTGCGAACTCCATGCAAACCCTCAAGTCCTGGCTCCTCATTATAACCGTAATGTCCGTAATGTTCACTCGGAAAGAGTTCCCGGCCATGTCCGAAGAGCTCGAGCTCATGGGAGTGAGAATCGCGTTTTGTTCTTCAAATTGAAAATTTGATTGCCGTTCATGTATGCAGAAATTACTTGGTTATACATACCGCAACTCTGTCTGACCCACAGGCAAGCTTGATGTAAGAGATAAGATCATAAGGATTAAAATCGGAATTGATGGATACATTTTTGGCTGGGAATAACTAGTGCTTGCAGTAAAAACACGGGTAAGTTTATGGCAATTGATGTGAGTCTTTGTCGAATCAAATGATCAGCTGTAACAAACAAGTTTTTTTTAGAGCCAAAGTTATTTTTGAAAAAAAAAGATCTTTGGGGAGTGCGTGTGACGTTTTTCCTACGCTTGTGATTCATTAGTTCAAGCTTGATGTTTTGTCGTGGCGTTTTACTTGTTTCGAATAACAGCCTAACGCTCGTTTTTTGGCGAACATCCCCACTTACATGGTTGAGCAGTCCTTCAACTGCCTCTGCGATATCCATTTAATAGAAAAATTGCAAGAGGTGCAAGATTCCTGGTCATGGGCTGCTCATGTTTTCCTCTAAGCCTGTATTACTGTGGAACCCATAGAAGATCTTCTGCCTCATTAGTTCGCGCTAAATCTCATTTACTTGCGAAGCATCTCAGAATATTCATGAAAAGGCCGAGACTTTTTGAAGCGAACTTCTACGGAGCCCTATTTCGAATCGTGTGTTGCAAAATCGCGCACGAGAGAGAGAGAGAAAGAGAAAGAGAGATGTGGTGCTGATAATAGCATAAGAAACTCGTGTGTAGAGCCGCAAAACATTCTCCCCGACCGGGAATTGAACCCGGTTCTCGCATGTGACAGACGCGGATACTCACCACTATACTACCGAGGACGGGTAGCCTTATGCGTTGTAGGCTTCCATCAGGCTCATCATCGTAATCAACTCGCTGGCATTTGAAATGTTCCACTTACTACTATAGAGATATTCAGAAGCATTCCATAGGGAAGATCTGTGCAATTTTGCGGTGAATATGGTTCGCATGGATAGTCAACTTATGCGTTCCGAGAATGTTACACGAGCAACTCACAATTTTTTGTTGCGCATGTGCACACTACTATTGTAAACGTAACTTACAACTTACGTTGAACTTAAACACGGCATCTGACCGTACGGCCTCTGACAGCTAAGTTTGTCAAAGCATGGGGGCAGACGGTACTTTATTCACAAAGAACTTGGAGGTTAACTTAGTTCGGGACCGCATGTATGAAGGAAGACGCAGCATAAGACAAAACTTCATAGCTATCTAATTTATCTGTCTGTGCTAATTTTTGAGTACTGCAACTACCCTCTGCTATAAACTTTTTGAACAGGAGCGATCGCTGTATAGCTCCAGGTTTTTTCTGTGATTCCGATAAGTTCATAAAAAGACAGTTTACTTTTCTACAACAGTGCTAAGCATGTCTCTTATAAAGACATATAAGGTGTCGAAATAATGCAGATTTCAATGAACGACGAGTCAACCCACAGTAAAACTTGTTAAGTCGAAGTGGCATTTTTAATTAAGATGTATACCACCTAGAAGGGCATAAAACGTTGGTCCTAAACCTGCCTTCCTTACCTGCAGTACGTTCATGGACGAGGAGTTATGAGCGTCTTTTGGAGCCAAAAATTGAGATATACTTTTTATTTTAGGGTATTCTTCATATAAAGTGCTCTGATGATTATCACTCTCCATTGAAGAGCTAGAAAAAGTTTACGGCTATTTTGGTCCTACACGCACGTTCAATTTTTTGTTCCAATAAGCACTCATAAGCTCAGTAATCTAAAAAAAAAGCTGGATGCCGAAAAGCTGAAATGGTGAAAGTAAAAGGGTAGGCTCTATGTTCAAGACTGCAACATCATCTGCTGTAGTTGACAAAAATCTTTATTGTTTACCTAAAGCAGAAACTGGTCAAAATTATCAATTGTTCATACGGGTATGAAACTGTCAAACAAATACCCTCTTCATAATGTTTTATACTTACACTGTACAGAATTATGCAGAAATTTACGTAGATGCTAATGACTCATCAAGCCCAGAATCTTACTGAAAGGGTGAAGACTTGCATTATTATCACTGTCGACAAAACCAGTGTTTTGACCAAGCGAGTAACTTTCGTTTGGATGGTAGTGTTTGTGGAAACGCAAAGTGCCTGCAGCCCTGGAAATTTGCGAATTTAATGTACTTAAATTACTCTGAAAAATATCGTTTTACGCACGCGGTTCTGGGAGAGTTTGAGAAAGGTGCAGCCAAAAAGAGAATTAGAAAAGCGATGGACTGTTGATGCATACTTGACAGTGGATCACGGGGCGTAATCCACGCAGATAGAATTTTTACGGCCTTTTGTATATTAGTTGGGATAAGTGCACTGATGTACAAATATAAAGACCTTATACAACAAAAACATTATGTATTTGTATAGCTACTGTACGCAGAAAAAACTTTTTGAAAAAATATTTTTGTCTAGCAGGTGTTGCAGTTGAACATCGATGAATACATTTGAGTCAGGTTCAGAGATGAATGTCTCCTGCTGTACCCATGTCTGTTGAAACGGTGTTTCCCACAAACCATTCGGTCGAATAAAAGGCAGATTATGATGTTTATTAGTATCGCTCATGGGAGAAAAGAGAGGACATGAATTGATGGAGCACTTGAGTAAGTAAAGGATCAAAGAACTGTAAAGAAATGAAGCCGTATTGTAGAGTGTCACATTTTTCCGAAGTCTACATGCATTGAGTTATGCTTGAAATTGGTTTGGAACAGCGTCAGTCAGAATTTCAGAGAATTTTTACGAAGATTCTAACTTGTTTGCGCATAAACATTTCACATATTCATGTACAACACAAATTAAATAAATAAATAAAAATGTACAACATTTTTTAGATCACTGATTGTGTCTGAATAGCAAAAGTAATGACAAAGCTAAGGCAAGCTGGTAGATTTTGGATTTGGTCTTAACCCCATAGATCTTCCAGCTTGAAGCAGTAGCTTGTCAAATCCTCGATTTAAAAAATTCTTGCTTACTTCGGGTTTTTCGAAAGTTTAAGTTTGTTTTGAACCTTGTGAGCTATTTTGCCATGATTATAATGACCGCAAACTTATGGGGCAGGAGTTCTATTGTGGGATTCACGGTAACTTAGGCTTTGAGAAAGTAGTATTGCAGACGGAATTAAAGGACTGGTCAACTATATAAATAGGGATGTTCGCCAAATAACAAGAGTTAGGGATTATAAGAGGCAAAATTCCCTCAAGACAACACATGAAAAAGCTCATAATTTTGTCAGGTTTAGTAAAACCAGCATCCGAGCATCCAGTCAAGGTCTTTGATCGCTTTCAAAATAGCTTTGGCTTTAAAAAAACCAGTTTGTTACAATCGATCAATTGATTCAACAGGTGCTCATATTGCCATAAAAACCGTGTATCATAACTTATAATAACGGGCTAAGGGTTGTTTACGTGTGTGTGTGTGTGTGTGTGTGTGTGTGTGTGTGTGTGTGTGTGTGTGTGTGTGTGTGTGTGTGTGTGTGTGTGTGTGTGTGTGTGTGTGTGTGTGTGTGTGTGTGTGTGTGTGTGTGTGTGTGTGTGTGTGTGTGTGTGTGTGTGTGTGTGTGTGTGTGTGTGTGTGTGTGTGTGTGTGTGTGTGTGTGTGTGTGTGTGTGTGTGTGTGTGTGTGTGTGTGTG